TGGCATAAACGGAAGATTTAGAATTACATTATTAAACCTCGATCCTTTTTGTACATATACTTCATCCATTGGGAGTAGTACTTCATAAGTTTCTAAGTGCTAATTATTGTAGATGACTTTGACAAGATTATCTAACCCTATAATAATTGTTTTTTTCAACTCATAAATTAATAAGTCAATAATCAAAAATTTATTGAATAGTGAATGATATATTTTAAGTTAAAAGTTAGAACATCAACAAAATAACGTCTCGAGTGGTATGAAGTCAATATTTTAAATAAAAAATTTTAATTTTAATACCTAAAAGATGAATTTAGAGTGAAAAAATTAATTAATTTATATTTAATAAGTTATCGAACTACTTGCACTTAATTAAAATTGTGATTACATATTTGCTACTTGACTAATAGCTATAGCTTTTATTAAAAATTAAATAAATAAATAGAAATCAAAAGATTACTCACTTTAAACCCATTAATTACATATTAATCTGTAACTATCCATGTTTATTTAGTTCGTGTTGGAAATTATCGAATTACCACATTGATAACTTTTTATTATAAATAAATAAATATATTCTCAATTAAGGTGTCTGCCGAAGATCCCCCCAAAAAGAATTTAATAATAAAATTTGGCCGGTTGAATCTCGTATCAAGATTCCTAGTTGTCAAATGGCCTTGTAAATTACATATATATATATATATATATATACTTACACATGTACTTGTGTGTATAAAATCTCTACCCCTCCATGTGTAGGTCACCGGCTAATGTACGTAAAGAAGAGGACAAAAAAAGGTGATTAAATTTATTTTCAGATTTATATAAAGCTGGTGCGTGCTTGATGCCTTGGGACACTTAAAAAACATTGCAATTATTATTTAATACGATCAATAACTGATTCTTGCAGTTCGACTTATTACGTATATAACTCTTTGTTCCTTGTGTTTCTCTTTCTAATTGTAATATTTATGTTGAGTTTGAATATAATATAATTATATAAAATATAAAAAAATATAACATAAATGTAATAAAATTTTAAATAAAAATAATATTTTAATTCAAGATCAATTTTATATTCAATTCAAATAAAATAGTTTTATGACTCATTCTTTAATAAGTAATTTTGTAAAATTAGAATAACCAAATGAATTTCGTTTAATTATACATGTGATATACGAATTGTAATAACTTTTTATGTGTTAAACAACTAAACCATAGTAATCAAATGTAATAAAACAAGCACAAAACTAGAATTATCCAATTAAGATATAATAATAAATCTTATTATTGTATATACAAAGTAGTGTTGAGATTAATTTATACATAATTTAATTAATATTTTAATATTTTATTAAAATAAGTAATTCGTATTAAAATAATAAAAAATTAATATTGCATGCTTTAATTATATTTCTATTTTAAGATAGTATTCTAATTCTTTTATAAATAATTTAACTATTGTTTTTAATTTAATTAAAAAAATTATTATTTTTTTTTTTGCCGAAATTGTGATTATTATTATTTTTAGTTTGATCACAGATAAGTTGTTTTGTGTGAGATTACTACTTTTTTTTAAAAAATAATTCGTTAATATATTTAATCAACTATTTAATTACAATAGTCTAAAATTAATAATACCTGACTAATCTGATGACATAACAGTTTTCAATAAAATTTAATGTCTCAAATTCCAATTATTTTCTCTTTTTTTTTTAAAAAAAAAATATAAAGAAAAATATATTTAGTGGGGAATTATATATATATAATATAAATAAATAAAAGTAATTTAAATAATAATTATAATAAATGACGCAATTAAATGAAATGAAAGGCAAAGGAGTCAGTGTCATTGTTTCATATAATGGAGAGCTGGCCCCACTGTTTGTCTCTGCTAAAATCATCATCACTAAAATTTCAACTATGAATTATAAATTCTTATGCTTATTTATTTTATATACATGTATTTTTTTGTTCTTGGAATCTGTCTCTTGTATCAAGGGTGAAATTTCTGAGGAATGTCACAGCTGGATTCATTGGATTTACAGATAAATCTCTATATATATATATATATGCATACATACACTTATTTGGGTATGTGAGTTATACATGTTTGTCTAATATTGCCTAGACAAACAATTATGAAGAAAATTTAATTTAAATAGTTATATTTTATTAACTAAATAGTTGGTATTTCTTTTTATTTTTTATAATTACTATTTTGTTTTTTTAATATTTATTTATTAAAAAAATTACGATATAATTAATATATATATATTATTTAATTAATAAAATACATGAATTTTAAATTATTAAAATAATTTATTGATAATTAAATATCAATTTGTAAATAAAATATAAATTCAATTTCTAAAGTGATTACAATACTTTTGTTTGAAAAAATATTACTATTGACATAACTAATTTATTTTTAATTGAATTGAAAAAAAAATTATTTTACTTCCTAAAATGATTTAAAATATTTTGATTAATAAAAATTTATTACACTACTTAAAATTATTCTAAAATATTTTTACCGTTAAATAAAATAAATATTACTCATTAATTTTAAGTAATTATTTTATTAATAATAAATGTTAATTCATATATAAAGTTATTTTTTAATTTTTTGAAAGAAAAAGTGAATTTTTTAAGGTAAATTTTGTATTTTAACATGAATGATATAATATAAATATTAAAAAGTAAAAAATATAATTCTAATTGGATTAGATATTTAACTTGTAATAATAATTTCTACCTTCTAGAATTTTAGAAAAAGAACTTTAATAAAAGGCGAAAAAAAAAAATATTATTATAAATATTTTCTTATGAAGTGTAATCATTGATACCCAAAGAAAAACTAATAACCAAAAGATGATGACGTCATAGCATAGCATATAGAGACAGAAAAGCCAAATCCATCACTTGGCAGCCATGGAATCTTGGACAAAACGACACAGGATCAACTTCACATTCCATTGGTACGTGAATTACACTCCAGAATTAGCTCGTGGATGCGAGAATCAAAACGCGGTTGTAGACACGCGCGCAGCCAAATCTTGAAGTGAAAATGCCATTGGATTACTTAGCAAACCCAAACTGGCAACTGTTAATGATTTTATTCCAACCCAGTTCCATGCTTATCCATAATTTTTGCTTTTAAAATATTTTTAGTTAAAAAAATATTGTATTGAAAACACTAAATTATTTTAATTAAAATAATATTATAATAACCCAAATACATTAAAATATCTTTTATTAGTGTATATAAATTTTAAATGTTCAAAATTAGAGGAGTCTGTAATAATAAAGAAATATAAAATTTTCAGCATAATATATGCAGAAATTGGTCATTATTTGCGTAAAAGTAATTAATTTGGTGTTATAAATAATTTAATTTTAAAATAATCGATTCTTTGCAGTGTAAGATAGCCTCAAAAATTAATCTCATTATTGCTGATCAAGTTAATTAAATATAGTTTGCGTAAGAGTTAATTCTTAATTAATTTAATTTATCTTATATAAAATAATTAAAACTTAGGAATCAAATATTAACTTATAAAATCATTAATGGTAAAATTATTATTATAATAAGGAAATCAAAGCAATAATTAGACTGCAGGGATCTCCAAGAAAAAATAAATCCGCCATCTTCTTCCGTCCCACAACCACACCCACCAAAAAATCATAGCACTTTGAACTTGACTCCCCCATTTCCATTTGTTTTTCCTTGATTTTTCTTACTTTACTGTTATACCCAACTCAATCATTAAACTCAGCAACCATTTCCTCTGCAGAGATTCTTGGAAAGAAGGAAGTCGTTTCTCATATCAGGTTTCGCTTTCTCTCCTCTACCCTTTTCTTTTCCTGCATATGCGTTATGAAGAAGACGAATGAGTCAGTTCGTCTGCTACTTGCTTTTCTCTTTGGATGACTTTTCGTCTTTCTTCTTTCTTTTATCTTTGATTTTTGTTTTTCTTGGTGGCTTTTCGAATTTTAATTGGTTGTTCTTTCTCCTTTCTGTTATTTTTTATCTTCGAACATTAATTATTACTGGTAATTTATACAGCTCAAGTATATCTAGTTCCTTCTTCAAGTATATATAGTTCATCTTCTCTACCAATTTACATGAATAAATGAAGATTTCTACTTAATTGGCTGTAATTTATGCAATCCCATCTCAAACTGGTAACAGTTTCAGCACAAAGTAATTTTCACCCCTCAGTTCTTCTTCATTCTGTGTCTCCTTTATTTTTCTGACTTGGATAAGCATTTCCATCTATGGTTTTTTTTTTTTTTTTTTTGAATTTCTGTTACTTTTTTCCTGGTTGAGAATTAGGATTCCACAAAAGTCAAGTGGGTTTTGGAGTGGGTATGGTGGAGATTGTTCTTGACGAGTATTTTCAAGCTTGTACAAACAAGAGATTTAAAGGAGGCTTTGAAACTCCCTTATGACAATAGACGTGTTTGCTTGTCAATTTCTTGTTTGTCATCTCTTCTTTATATTTCTCATCAATGTTGTTTTAATTAGATGTATGCTATGTTGCTCCATTTAGGTACAAGTCTTGGGTATAATTATGGATCGAAAATGCTTAGCTCTTAGTTTTTGAAGTAAAAAGACATGATGATTTGGTCTATAAGAGTCCATAAATTATATAAGGGTAATTTGGGTTCATTTGTATACGTTAAACAACACAACTAATATAACCTTTAGGAAGTTACGACAATGTCATATGCAGAACAAAGTACAACCTTCTTGGCACCAAAAGATAGCATACTGATTTTTGTACTGAATGAAAATATAAATATGTGTACTAATTAGTGATATATAAATGCTTCAGTATTGATTATGTAAAAACTTTTGAACTTTGTATGTTCAAGAAAATGTATTTCCATTAATCTGTTCTGTTTCAACTTATAATCTTAGAGTCTTCATCCTTATGTTCATATTATCATTGTGTTCTTTAGCTATGGTGCTGTTGATAACTAAGCGATGGTGATTAGATTTGTGATACGTTTGACAAGTTTCATTAAAAGAAAAGTATTTCCGACATTCTCTTTTATTAATAAGTTCATGTATCATATTTGATAATGGTTTCGCCTGCAAGTCCTTATTAAGTTAACGGTTGATCTTTCTCCAGTGGGAGTCTTCTTCCTTTATCAGGCAGACATTATTAGCACTCTCCTACCCTCAAGTGGAAGTCCTGAAAGTTTTTGCTTGAGGAGATGTTGCCTATTTTTGCTGACATAAGAGGGATCCTTATTCAAGAATGGAGACCTTGTTAAAATTTATGATAGATCATTAATAGATCCTCAGTCTTACTGGACTTTCTTCCTGTGCTGAATACCTAGATATGCTCATAATCTATTTTCAGTTGTATATCTCATCAATTGCTCTAGCTCTTTTGGCTTGATAATCTCCAAGAAGGTTTTGGCATATTGTGCCTGTTGATTTGGGCTGTGAATGAAGATTGGATATTTTTCTGAAACCATGAAGCATAGAAGTATCATGTCAGTAGCACCAAGTGAGTCTAGGAATGGAGTCAGACATTCATTTTGCACTACTACATCCCCTATTCATAATTTTCTGGGTGTTGAAACAGAAAGAGAGACTTCGCCTTTCATTCAATCAGAATCCCTTGGTTCTCCTAACCAAGTAAGAGGATATATGATCCAGCCCCAAAAGCATTTCTTAAAGTCTGGACCAAGTAGTCCCGTCTCTCCTAGTCCTAATGGCCAACATCCTAGGAGCACATTTTCACGCTCTTCTCTCTTCTGTACCAGTTTATATTTATCATCTTCATCAAAGTCAGAAACCCAAAGGCAGCTTGGAAATCTTCCATTTCTCCCAAATCCTCCCACATACAACCATTCAACTTCTGCTGTCGAGTCAGCAAAATCTCCTGCAATTTTCAGTGAGGATCTAGGAAATCCATATGATGACGACCAGTCGGAGGCTCTTATGAGAGACTTCCTTAATATACCTGGAGATACTTCTGATGGTAGCTTTCATGGTATGAACTGTGGAAATGACAGTTTAGCACTTACAGAACAGATGGAGTTGCAATTTTTATCTGAAGAGCTTGACATTGCTATCACTGACCATGGAGAAACTCCAAGGATTGATGTAAGTACATGTCAGCAAGCATTTGTAGCACTGCAACAAACAACAATCTAACTAAAATTAATACTTCAATTCTTCTGGAAATGTCTTCATTATCTTGAATAATTCTTCCTACTCTCTTTCTTGGGATACTAATATTATGTAGGAAATATATGAAATTCCTCAAGCTTCGCCAAAGTCAGCATTAGGTTTTACATGCAGTCAAAGTTTTGCCTCTGTTGTACCAGCTGCTGATGCTGTTTCAACTCAGCCCTCTTCTGGGTCAGCTACTGTGCACAAGCCAAGAATGAGGTGGACACCTGAACTCCATGAGCGTTTTGTAGAGGCAGTCAACAAGCTTGATGGACCTGAAAGTAAGTATCCTATGCCTTCTGTTGTACTAGACAAAAAAGGACATGGTTTCTCTTGTTATAAATAAAGTCCATTGTGCAGGTTTGTTAGACCATGTTCACTGACCCATATACTGAAGAAACATAAAGATAATATACTTTGTAAAGAGTTTGATAGTAAATGAAAGATGGATGCTAACATGATTCCAATGTTCTAAAATTCATTTGCTTCCCAATGCAGAGGCTACTCCAAAAGGTGTTTTGAAGCTTATGAATGTTGAAGGTTTGACTATTTATCATGTGAAAAGCCACCTACAGGTAGTCAATTAACTTTTTGAAGTTTTAAACAAAACATCCTGTGACTCATTTTGAGCCCACATCAGTTTTAACCTTTTGCAGAAATACCGGTTGGCCAAGTATATGCCAGAGAAAAAAGAAGGTAATTGACAAATCATGGAAGAGAATTCTTGATCCCTCGCATTGTCTTGTCATCATTCCATCATTATTATTACAGTTTTTATCATTTTCTTTTGCGTAGCCATACATTAAAAGGAAGTATGTATAGATTTTGTACATAGTTTCTGAGATTTATTACCTTAGTGTTGGTCTCTTAACACCTTCATGACGCATGCTATCACTATTGTCTAACAAGAAAAGTGTAGCTATATTCCATACTTCATTAAAATGTTTCAAGTCTTCTTTCCATTCACGAGGTTGTTCTTTCAATCTGCCTCTCGAGTCCGTTTTATCCTGCAGTAAGTCCCACTTGTTCCAATTATGAGCAGTCTGGATAGTAAAGTAGATGATTTTGGAAATCAATGGAACTAGATTTCTTTACATACTTCCATGCCTAAATCTGATAAGTGCTCAAATTAGTAGTTTAATTTTGGGCCTGATCATACTCTTTTTGCATATTGAAATAGACTGCCTAGCTTAAAGTAATATACTCGCATGTTGACAATAATTCTGTCCTAAAGCTTCTAGATGTAGTAGGTTTATTGATTAATATCCTTCTTGTGTTTATGTAGTTTTTCACACTGCTTTTAGTAGTTGGCAGTGTTTTTGTCAATATCTTTTTAAGAAAATAATTTTTTCAGAAAATTATTTCTCCTGCAATTTGGTTGACAATATGAACCTTACATCTGGCAAAGAATGGTCTCATATTACATTTGATATGGAATTACAATGCTTTCTGGAGTTTCTGAAATTATGCCTGTTCTTTCATACTTAGAGAAGAAGCCTTCTAGCTCGGAAGAGAAAAAAGCAGCTTCAAGCAGCACCGAGAGTGATGGGAGAAAAAAAGGGTTGGTGCTACATTTTATTTCCCAGTGTCAAGAAACTCTCTCTCTCTTTTAAACAAGCTTTAAGAATTTCATTATCTGTTTTGTAGGGGCATTCAAATTACTGAGGCTCTCAGGATGCAGGTGGAAGTTCAGAAGCAGTTGCACGAACAACTTGAGGTATATTTTCTTCTCAATTCGCAATTCAGTCTCTTTCATCTTGAACTTTGACTTCCTGTTAAATCTTCTTTCATGATACTTAGTTCTTTGTTTTTCCAAATGGTATCGGAAGGATAGACTTTCTCCTTCTTGCTGCTTAAAATTTCAGTGATTGAAACATGATACCGAAATATAACTTCTGTTTCCTTTCTTTTGTCTTTTTTTTTTTTGGCTTAAAATTTGGAAAACTCATATTGATACATGAAACTACTTTTGTTTCTTATCTCTGAAATCCATACATGTAAATATATAAAGAATATGAAAAGTCGTAGGCTTTGTTTGGTATACAAAAATAACTTTTGATTTCATTTCCTATCAGTTTTCATAAATGTACATAAAAAATTACATTGTACAATAAAATACACTAAAAAATAATTTAAAATTTTCAAAACTCCATCACTATTTTTATTATACTTCTTTTTATTGTTTATTTTTGTTTTCAACTCATAATTGTTTATATTACAAAAATATATGGATATTGAAAGCGAAACAAATATATTTTTATTTATCAAACAAAACTTAAATTTTTTTATCTCAAATTTTTTGAAATTCCAAGAAAAACAGTGCTGGTTGGTTCTACTTGTTTAACCTCTCATTATCATTCATCATGTGCATAATGTAAAATATACAATCAATCATCAGTTTTACTGAAATACTAATTGAATTATGTACTGAATTTGTAAATTAATAGTTAACTGTTATGTATTAAATAATTAAGTTTTAGAAACTGATTATACATATAATAAGCTTGAATTGGATTAGAATAATATCATTATGATCTTTATTGACAAATATTGGTATCGCTTTTGTTTTACCATACTTGTATTTGATGTAAACAGATACAACGAGCTCTTCAGTTACGTATAGAGGAACACGCAAGATACTTGCAGAAGATCTTGGAGGAACAACAGAAAGCAGGCGGTACCTTAATTCCTTCCCAAGGTTTTAGCTTCATGAGTAATTCACATCAAAATTCCGAATTGCAGTCTTCTACTTCTGCTGCTGCTGCTTTGCCTTCACAACCATCCGGGTCATCATCACCTTCGCCATCCATTTCCAATCATAAAGATGATCCTGACAAAAATGATTCAAAAGCTGAAAAATCGCCAAAAAGGCCTCGCCTCGAACACGAGACAAAGAAGGCTTCTGATGAGGCTGAAGTTGGAAGACAAGAAGCTTCCCCTTTGCATGTTGTCTCCACTCTATAGAGCATGTTGTCTTGAACTCGTTTATTTTAGCAGGATGTCAGTTCCATGTATAGTAGGAATTATATTTAGAATTTGTTGATTTGCATTTTTCCAACATTTTGCTTCTCACATGAATTGTAATCAGTCTTTTCTTCGGGAAATATTCTCACATTAATTGATTTTAGCATGTGAACCCTAATATTGATGTTGAATTTTTTGGTAAGCAATTGGTGATCTTCAAAGCTGTAAGTTCTAACGTATATAAATAGATATATATTATGCTAATGAGCTCAAGTTCACCATGGTCGACTCATGCATAAATATCATGCTTTGATACTATGGTATTAGGTTTACTTTGATATTATAATATTTTACATATTTATTTTATAGATTATCCATAAATCAATTGTTATAATATATTAAGAAAAAAATTTAACTAAACGGATAGATTTTCACCAGCAAAATTTAACACTTTTCATTATTTGCATGATTATGTTTAAATTATGAAAAAAAAAAAACTTTATTGTTATTTAAAAGTATGATATACTGCTAAATGCCAATTATAAATTATATATTAGTAAAATTTGTCAATCAAATTAGTACTACTATGTTGAATCAATATGGTATGGTTGGTTCATAAATATATTGGTGGCTTACCACTAAACATAAAATGTATCGTATTTAAAATTTACTGGTATAAACCAATAATATTTATATTTATGGAAGAACTTAGAATCTTTATTTTTTTATAATTTAATTACAATTAGTCTTGAGTTTTTGTAGAGTCTTAATTAGATCTTGATTCTTGATAAATTTTAATAATTTTGGATGAATATCAAAGAATTTTGATGAATGTTAAAATTGTGATTATGTGAATCTTGAAATTAATTAAATTAACTAATTATGAAGGTAATATGTTTAATTATGTTAATTAATTTAATTCAACTGAATGTCGGGTCACATAGAAGACCAATCAATGAACTAATTAGTTTATTGATTTTAAAATTTGGTGGGCTATGATCTCTCAAACTGTAACTTACTTGGGAATAATAGTTTGGCCTTTTGCAAGAAATCCAACAAGTCAGATAATCCCCCTTTCTTTTATTTTCATGTGGGTAGCCAAGTCTTCAAATTTGTAGGGTTATGAAGCCAATATCATCATGGTTTTCTTGCAACCAAAATTTGTGTCTTCATATATATATATATATATATCTGTATATATATATGTATGTATTTGTGTGTGTGTGTGAGTGTGTGTATTAATCTTTCTTTGTTTTCCTGTCTTAGATTACCCTTAAGGTATCTACATATATATATATATATATATATATATATATTCCATCTTGAAGAGGAGTATTAAGTTGGTTAATTGGTTAGTTAAAAGTAAATTATGCTTTATTAACTTAATTAACTTAATACCATTGTTAAATGTACAATTGATGGTACATAAAGCTCTATAAAAATCAGAATCTTTTAATTAATAAAAAGTAGATATCTTTTTTCTCTCTATCAGCTTCCTCGTTCTTTCAATTTTCTTATTCCACAAATCTTGAATTGTAATATTTAGGAAATTATAAAACAAATTTACTTTAAAAGAAACATGAATGAGGATAAATCTTGGGGAAAAAAAAAAGAAGGAAAAAAGGTTTATAAAAGTTTATTTCAACCAAGCAAATATATTATATAAAATACAAGCAACATTATATATGCTGAAGTATATAGCTAATTTATTATATATACATATAAATAATTATCACGGACCACACTCTGTCTTATATAGTAATGATCAGATCATACTTACTTAAATCACATCAACTCAAGTTAAATAAAATAACTTAACTTTATTAATCATAACAGAGTTGGAGAAGCGTTACATTCCTTAAATGTAAAATATAAACACATGTACGAGTCTCTAAATTTTCTTACTTATATTATTAAACAAAAGTACGAAATAGTAACCTTAATCTTATAATTTAACTTCAAAAATTTCCTTCATATCACTGGTCAATCTGCAGCAGTATCTTCAATATCTTGAGGGTAATAGAAGGAGCAGATAAAATATCTCAATAAGCGATATTATAAAATCATAGCATATTACATACAATATATAATTTCTTTACACACAACAAAACATATATAATATAATCTTTCCAAAACAGATACGAATAAGAAGACGAATGCATAAATCAGAAAACATAATCACAATTAGTTTGCTATATACTTCATCATTATTATAGATGATCAATCAGTTACCATACATTATACGTAGGTACATATACTTATCACTGGTTCTCTATGTATCCGAACACAGAACAACATACATGAGTACCTTGAAATACTGCTACACCCCGAACACGAAACATTTAGGGTACGCAGATCATATTGTTTTTTGATACACCCGAATACGAAACGGATAATAGGGTGTAATTATTTTTAGGATTTTCTAATTTTTCACAAAAATACAAAATTATATATCGTTAAACTTCAATTTACCATAATGGATAATAGGGTGAGAGATCCTTATCTGCATCGGTATTTCGAGATGTTGAGTTATCTACTACGCCTATTAATGGGTTCCGAGTTTTCTGAATTTTTCTGTAGAATTCAAAACACTCGTCATAAACCTAAAGTTACCCCAAAAATTCAAAATTGGTGTTCAAAACTTGTTATGGCAAATTTTAGAGTTCTAGCAAGGTGCTGTCGCCGTGCTCCAGCGCCGATTCTGTCGCCCGCGATGGTGGTTCGCCTCGACCTGGCCAATTTTGGTCGGCTTTGGCTGTATCCCTGCAGAAAAACACGTTATGGGTCTCGATTGGCCAAAAAATTACAAAAAAAATGAACCTACCGGCGGGGGGGCCTCGGAGTATGGCGACTTTGCTGATCCTCCTTCGCGACTGAGGTTTTTTCTTTGGCTATCTTGCACAGAAAAGGATGGTGAACACAATGATAAAAAAATTATGTAAAATGGGAATCACGAAGGGGTTCATCAGAGGAATTTTATAATTTTAGCCATGGGGACTCCGCCCGACTTTGCCCGCAGTTTCTAGCTTACCCTCGTCCCTCTTACTATGATTTGCCTATAGGGATACTCGAAATTAAATTCTGAGTAGGTAGGGAGAATTTTTATCTTTTTTGGCGGTCGACAGTGGCTACGGTGCGACGGTGGTCAGCGGTTGGCCTCCTTCTCTAGTGTTTGGTTCTTCTTCTCTGGTAGGGGCTGGCGGCTAGGGTTTAGATTCCCGTGTGATGTGAAGTATTTATAATTATTCTGTATTGATCTGAACTGTTCATCGCAATCGATCTCGTCTATGCGATCGCGCCTAAGTAAAAAACGAATCTGAGTCATTTATCACAATTGATCTCGACCGTCCGATCGCACTTAAGGAAAAAATGAATCCGGGTCATCCACGTGAGCGGGATCGATCTTGGGTCATCCGATCACGGGGCACGCAAATCGCCATTGTGTCCTCCCGCGTGGCACCGATGTCAGCGCGCCTTGCCACGCGATGCGCTCCAGTTCGTTGAGACTGCTGACTATGGTTCTACGTGACCGAATTTTTTCTATTTATACTTTAACCCCGAACACGAAACATTTAGGGTACGCAGATCATACTGTTTTTTGATACACCCGAATACGAAACGGTTATGTATAGGTATACACTTATCACTTTGCCAGTACACTCAAACAAGGAATGATTATGTATGGCCCCATTAAAGGTCAATATAATACAGGTATTTTCAGAACAACTTTTTTTATAATGAGTGATGTATATATATCAAAATTACATTTTAAAAACAAAAAATAAAATAATACTTATATGAAAATAAAATTTTAATAAATAATTACTTAGCAAATAGAAAGACAATTCAAACACTTTCACATTTTTATACTAAAAATATATTAAATATTTCAAAACTACATAGACTAATGAATCCATAATATCCACTTACCTTAAATCTTTAGTAGTTGTAATTTTCGGCAAATTTTTAGCTTTATTTATGATATTTTCTGCTAAAAAATCTGATAGAGTTTCGGGATAATTTTTGGTCATATTCTTGACTCAAAAATATTTAACACAATATTCGCAAACTTAATCTAAAAAATTAAAGTGAAACCGAACTTTAAAACTTAAGAAAGTGTTTACCTTTCTAACTGTTTATAACCTCCTTTTGATAGTGAGCCTTCTTACTCTTCTCTTCCTCTTCCTCTGCTCTCACAAATTTAGCAAAGTTTCTTCAAGATTTTTATCTAAAACCTCAAAATACTAAAAAAAAGATCACATATTTCGTACTCCCTCTTCTTCTTTTATCTCTATATTTTTTATTATTTTTCTCTCATCCAGAATGTCTCTTCCTTTCTTCTCATGTTCCCGTTATTTATAGGAGTGAGGGCGTAAGAGAAAGGTTGCCACCATTCCGTCATACCATTTCATCTAAAAGATTACCACTTTTCATATGTCATTTTATTTAAAAAATCTTTTTATATGTCATTTCATTTAAAAGATTATCAATTTTCACATGACACTTCATCTAAAAGTTGTCGTTTTATGTAATATCACTTCATATATAAGTTACTGCTTTTCATATATCATTTCATCTAAAAATTGTCACTTTTCGTTATGACGTCTTATATAAAAGTTACAACTTTTCATTATTTTACTTTATTTAGAAGTTTCTCATATTTTTTCACATCTCTTCATGTTTAATATAGCTCCTTCATCTTCCATCTTTTTTTCGTTTGATTCTAAACTATGTTTTTAATATCACTATATATTTTTAAACACATATAAAGACTAAATTAAATATATCAAATATGAAAAATTAACTCAGATGTATTTTAAAGCTACCACAGTAATAGTACGGAAACTAAGATTTCATTGACGTCATTTAATAGGATGGTATTTGAAATGACCCCAAAAATTAATAAAGGAAATGTATATAAAGAATATAAGTGCGGAAGCGAAATAAAAAGTTCTGATTAATATCCCTTATACAGTAACTTAAACGTACTAACAATACCGAAAATAAGTCTTTTAAAGGAAAATACTGGAAATGAAAGACTATAAAAGAACTAATAAACATCTAGGTATCTACTCGCCGTCTTCTTGTAGATCGGGCTCGGGAACCAAGTTCTCATGATCTGAAATAGTTAAGTAAGGAATGAGCTACACTAACCCAGTAAAGACCTCACACTATATCACCGTCACAGAAGTAAAGGTTGGTAGAAAACCAAAGA